TGCAGAGCCCAGCTTCCAGTGCGCCCAGAGCACGTCTTTCCAGTACATGCAGCAGTTGTACCGACTTGCGCCGTTTGGCAGCTTGCGAGCTGCAGGTCTTCAACAATGATCGTGACCCAGACGATGCACTGCTGTAAATATTGGAATCGGGTGCACGGGGACGTATGCAAGAACGAACACGCACAAAAGCAAACAACAACCAAACAAGCACAAACATGCGCAAAAAGAAACATCCGTGCGTGCGCACAGACCGTGTCTTTCGAAGCACATCGTCAGCTGCTGTGTGTTGTCTTTCTTGTCTTGTGCTTCTTGATGCCGCTACTCGAACCCGATGGCGGCTTGAGTGCTTTTGCTCTGAAGTCAGGATTGTCACGCTTATGTCGCACCGGAGTCCTCGAGCTGACACCGTGGCATACAGCAGCGAGATCCAGAAGTAGGATGGATTTGCATCCGCTAAGATATCGCAGCAAGCGCTGGCTCACGGCAGCGAAACCCGAATCCTTCGAGCCGTCCAGCCTGGTCATAGGCAGCAGGATAGCCGGCTTGTCTGACACAGCAGATGCCGCTCTTGGCCGGACAGTTGATGGGCTGGGAGCTGCCGCCGCCGTAGGGGTCGTAACCGTAGTAGACATAGCCGTAGCCGTAATTGTAACCGTAAACAGTGTCCCAGAATTCAGGATCATGGAAACGTCCGCTGTCATATTGATCAGGCACTTGGCTGGGGAAGAGGGTGTAAGCTTTGCAACGCCTCGGCTCTTCTTGCACACCGGCATGCATCACTAGGACAACATTTGCAAGAGAACCTTTGAATTTGAGATTCGGGACTCGAAGCCGAAGCTTTGCAACACTCTTTCTTACCTTCCCAGAAATTTCAATAGCCTTCAGCTAAGGCACATTCCAAACATAATTCTTTATATCATGGGAGGAACCCTCTACAACATGTACGTTTCATCGTGTTCGTGCTACGACTTTGCCGCATGGCGAAGATGTGCTCGGGCGGTGTCATGACAGAGACACGCCTGGACGTTCTACTTCTTAGTCCCCACCTGAGACCGCCAATCAGCCAGCTTTACTTGCGTGAAACCACTGGCTTTTATGCTAGCCGAGTTCACTATTTCAAGGGAAAGAACTGGCAACTACGCAGCTTGAAGGACGGACATGGCTGCTTCTTCATCGTGCCGGTCAGCGTCAATACGGGGGGCAGCGCTTACAATCGCCCCATCATCAGCGACATCCTCCTCAAGCACTTCATCCCGAAGTTTGACCGAGCCATTTGGGGTGAGAAGAGCCCCAACCCCTTTAGGAGACAATTTTAATCTTGGAGCGCAAGGATGGAATGATGCAAGAGAGAAGGACCGCTGTTTGCATGTTTTTCAAGGCATATGGCTGGAATTTCCGAACTTGCGTTTGGTCATTGCAATTTTGTCTTCCCCTGCAGGAGCTGGACAACATGGCAAAGGAGGAAGCCATTATGTACAACTTGATCGGGCACGAGTTGGCAGATGTGATTGTGGAGTGCAATCAGTTGGCTGGAAATCTTCAGTGGATGAGGGAACGCAAGAAGCGCGAAGACTTTCTACATGAATACTACAATGAAACGGTGGAGGGGACAGCAAGGCGCTTCAAGCATGTGGGCGCAACGGCGGATGGCATCAAACGTGAAGTGGAAAGCATGATGCTTGACCCGATGACAGATTGGGGAAAGAGTTCCTTGCCGGTGCCGGCGCACTTGTGGAAATTCCCGCCCAAATAGCCCAAAAGTGGCTGATGAGGCTGACCCGTACAGGCAACAGATGTTGCGACAGTGCATGTTTGTTGGAAAATGACCTTGAGATGAAATCGAAACCCCTTTAAGTTCTGGAAAGCTTCGGAGTCCAAGGTGTAAATGTAGGGGACTAAACGCTCCATCATCAGAGAAAACCCTGTTCTCATAATGAACGCCTCTCAGGTTCTGAGGCTCTGGCAATGAGGCCTGTGACGCATCGTTT